GGGAAGCTTGAGGCATGGCTTTCCTTTGCATGGTCTTTCTGGTGGGTCAGCCGATCTGGTAATAAGGGCAGAGAAATGGTCCTGCGGTTCTTTGTATTTTTCTGTGTATGAACACACATTTATCATTTATCTTGGGTTCAGTGAAGTCATTAGAACCTCACCTTCAGAGGCTCATTGGCATAGGGTTCCCCAGTGAGTTACGGTCACTTCTTCCTATTGTAAATATTCAATTTATTGGTTCACATAGAAACTAATGCATTTGCTGATGCAAACTGATGGTGTGTTCATGTAGTGAAGTGTTCTGGTGACATGCTTATAGCCGGCTCTGCATTGGCCAAGGATGCGGTCCTTTAAGGGGAAAAACACCACCTCTTCCAGCATTCCCTCAACAACCATTAGTTTTGATTCAGTGCTTTCTGACAAAGACCAGCATATTAACTATCCAACTGTAGATAAGTAAATAAATGTTCCAAATGTTCTAAATACCTGAAGAGATCATGATTTGAGGTTGACAAATTGTAACAAATTGTAACACAAGGAAGGATACTGATTTGAACCTTAGAACTTAGGGTGTGTGAATGCTACACACACTTTACTTGTGAATGCATGGTATTTGAGTGTGCATGCGTTCATGTGCATGTACACGAGTGTTTGAACGCACAAGGAGGCCAGAGGATGCTATCAGGTGTCTTTCTCTATTTTTCTCCATCTTACTTTTTGAGACAAGCCCCCCCCCCATCTCTCTTTGAACCATTTTTGTTGGACTGTCTGACCAGCATGTCATCAGGATCAGGGACAGGGATAGGGGGATGTGTGTGTGTGTGTGAGAGAGAGAGAGAGAGAGAAGAGTGCAGGTATCCAAAGAAACCAGAAAAGGGTGTTAGGTTCCCTGGAGCTGGAGTTGCAAGTAGTTGTAAACTGCCTATCAAGGGTGCTGGGAACTGAACTTAAATCTCCTAAAAAGTTACCTTTGCCACCTAAGAAAACATCAGACTGAAGTCTTTTGTTGCTTTTGTACCAAAGGCATGCCTCAAGGAGTAATCAGCTATCTGTCTGTGTGAAACATCTGCTAAAGGGGTTTGTTCTGGCTTATGTTTTCAGAGGTGTCAGTCCATGGCCCTGCTTCTCATGGGCCCCGAGTGGGAAGTGAAAGCTGAGGAAGCCCCTCACCTGAAAAGCAAAGAGCAGAGGAGGGTCCAGGATCTCCAAACTTCCTTCCAGTACTGTCTCTCAATTACATAACTTTCTTTCATTATAAAGATCTCACAAGAACTCTCAGGAGTGCCACAAACTGCCTTCAAGGGACACATACCCAGATGACTTCAGCAAAAACAACCAACAGGAGGGCCTTGTTCCAGGTTTCGTCTCCATTCCTTATGGTGTCCTAGCAAGTCTTTGATGCTGTGTTTCTGGTAGCCAGGCAATTGAGTGGACTAAACCTTATTTTAAGTATACATTCATCATCTAGTCAGTAATGTCTAGGTAGTACTCTTAGTGTATCCTAGCACTTCTGAGATGGAGGTAGCAGGGCCAGAAGCTCCAGGCCAGCTGGAGCTACACAATAAGTTCAAGAAGGAAACATTCATTTCATTCCAGTTTGCAGCTGGTTCATGCCTGTCAAAAGCAGCAAAATCCATGGGATTTGCTGTGGCTATTTCCTTCAAAATCAAAATAATATTTGGTTAGCTTCTTGGGGTTGAAATTATACTCTGGATGGCTGAAATTGCCTGCTAATTAGCTGTCAGATAAAGATGAATATGCTGAATTTAGTTTTTTGAAATGGAGTGAGGCAAACACCACATGCACTGCTAATGCCAGTGTGCTTTAATGTGACTTCATTATGCTTGCTGTCTCACTTACTGAATCAAAATGTTTACTTGTGCCTCTGCTGGGTAAAACACACAGAATATTTGGGAGTGAAATCACTGCTTAGAAGGTTCGTTCAATACTAACACTTCCCAAGCCTGTTTCAAGATCAGAGCTACCTTCTCTCCCAAGTACAGAAAATATTATTTATTGGTGGGGAGATACAATTTCATTAAGAACAAACTGGAGCTACTTAATATGACCAATAAAAATGAATCCAGTGGCCTGGGTAACAAAATATCTCACAGTGTGAATCACCACAATTAGACGTAGGCTTTTCACCACTTTAATTGGTAGATTTATTATTGGTATACAATAGATCTTACAACATATGTAGATATGACATCATCAAATATCAAAGAAGTTGCACATCTTCCTATCTTTTGACAATGTCTGCTAACTTACTCCAAGAGAGAAATGTGGCAACGAGCCAATATCAACTAACATTCCCGAGATCAAAGTTGAAATGGTACATCCATTTGCCCTCAAAAGAAGGTTAAAGGCAAAGGTGAATCGACGTGCAAATTAGCATGTGGACCATTCACAAATTTTCAAGATGCACAGGATCAAACCATGCACCCTTGCAAGCAAGATGAAGGGTGAACAGATCACATTAGACCATAATCTACTCTGAGACCTTGGGATATGAAAGTCAGAGGTCTTCTTCCATTAGAGCCCAGGCATCCATTGTGTGTCATCCTACCCTGGATCCTGATGCATATCTGTGAGACCTGTGTCCTGGGCCATCTTTTCAGTCAGAGGGGGAGATTATCCTTTGTGGTCCCAGGAACAGTTAACTCTGAGTCAGTCAGGTGTGTAGGAGGGATGTTCAGAGCTTTGATGGCTACCTGATGTGGCCATGACATTAACTGTTGTTTTGTAGAATAAGTAAAAACAAGACACCAGTATAATAGCAAATAAGAAACTGAGATCACTTATATATCTATATAATACTTGAAATGTCCATAAACAGTTTTTCTCCAGAAACTGAAAACACTGTCGACACAATTTCAGTAATCCTCACAATATGTCTGTGAGGTAGGAAGGGGCGAGGCCACTATGAAAGCATCACCCCAATTTATAAATGAAGACAAAGATGTGTGGGGAGGACAAGGGGTCCCACCAGGAACACAGGAAAACAAAGTGGAGTTTCAAACCATCCCCTGGCACTTGCAGTCCATTGAGAAGAGGCTTCTAGCTTGCTTTCTACTCTGATTTCCTCTGGAAGCATCATAGCCAGTCCTATCCATGACTAGGTGTGACTATTTAGATCTATGGACACTAATTTCCCTTGTATAGACCTGAACTAACTCTCTGAGGTAAAGGACATCAATTATTGGCATGTATTTCAGAGTGGTGAGTGTATACGTGTGTGTGTGTGTGTGTGTGTGTGTGTGTGTAACAACATTTGTAGAATAAAGATGCAGGAATCTCTTGGCCAATTCAGCAGAAGAGAAACATATTTGGTAGAGTAAGTTCTAACACAGATTTTATACAAGGGTCATTCATGAGTTTTGAAGGGAAGATGCCTCCTTGTTGCATATGACTGTGTTTTCCTGGAGGTAACTTGAAATTAACCAGAGCAAAAGCAATAACACACTCATGCACAGTGGCATGCTTTGGTGTGAAAAAAGTTCTTGCCGTGTCCTTGGTTTCTAACTTGTGAGGGTTCTCAGGCGGAAGCTGCTTCCTCTTGCCTAGGACTGACCCCCCCCCAAATATCTAATGTATACTCTCCTCAAGTGTTTCATGGAGAGCTTTGTGTCATGTGTCAAAAATGGTTCTGGCTGGTGGAGGAAAAAGTTTGTATTGCTTGTCCTTTGCTTAACTGGAGACCTGTGAAGGGGTCAGTGTAGTGCTGAGGGACAGTTGTTTAGGTCAAGCATGGCCAAAGGGCATACCCTTGCTGTTTACATAGGGAGGTCCGTGTGTTTGTGTGTGTGTGTGTGTGTGTGTTGGTTCCTATTTAGGGATATCTTAATTTCTGCAAACCCGTTTCTTACTACCCACTTTGCTTACAGACTACCTCTGAGGATTACTCTTTCTTTTTGGCACCTCTGAAGTTTAGGAAGAATTTTCCCCATCGCCTGGGATGGCTGGTTGTGGGAAGTATCCCTATTTATGGTCTCCACACCAGAACAGGATAGCATAGCACTATAGTGTTTTTCTTCAACAGAGTCACGGGGCAGGATCTGTCTGAGGAATTAAAACCTGATGGTTTCATGTTCTCTATGACATTACAGGACAATGTAATGTATTTTAAGATGTATGCTTTCCACTACATGAAATCAGGACATAAGAAGCTGGATATCAATTCAGATGTTGCAAAAGAACTTCAGTGTAGCCCTGTAATAAAGCTCTCTAAAAACACAAATATGAGGCAATTGCACGTGCCAGAAATCAACCTATCAGTCAACAAACTAAACACTTTGGAGAAAAATAAGATCGATGTTTCACTTTGTTAAAGATGAAAGGGTTTTACTGATGTGTGAGTGTCTTTTTATATCACAAGGCCATCACAATAGATCTCAGTCTCCGTGTCAGCTTTGATGTTTTGGGCTAGGAGGCTGTTTGTGGTGGCAGGTTGTCCTGGGCAAAGTAGGGGGTTTAGCAGGCCTCTACCCCCTACTCCCAGAGAAGTAGCAGCAATCAAAAATAGCCACTAGACATTTTCAAAAATCCCTGGGGGAAGAAGGAAAAAACCATTTCCTGATAGGTAATAAGTGAAATAAATGGATGGATGCCGGTCCAGAAAAAAAAAAAAAAAAAAAAAAAAAAAAAAAGACTATTTCTCAAAATCTGTTGCACAGGATTTTGAGACTGGAAACCCAGGGGTGTTCTTTTATTAAAATGAAAAAGGAGTAATGTTGGTACGGGGAAGAATGAACAGGCAACTATTGGTGTCTCCTTTCTATGGACGATTAACTGCCCCTTTTAACATTTTTTTTTTTAAATATCATATAGCCATTACCCAATATAGAGAGTAAGGCAGTGAACCCGTTGCTTTATGGGTGTGAGGTGAGAGTTCTATGGATTCATCTGAGATTTAGATATCTCTCACTGCCATGGAGAGTTGCTCCTACTTGCTTCAAGAGCGTCCTTGATGCATGTAAGCTTTTGTCCTTCTCTTCTTCCCCTACCCCTATGCTCCACATGCCTCTCCCTTTCTGTCCTTCAAACTCACCTTTCTCTTTCGGAACTGGGCTGTAACTTTTCAGAAAGCCAGCGGGCTGTGATCCCCACTGCATTCAAGTGGCCTGCATGGGGAGTGGCTGGGATCCCCACTGCCTTCAAGTGGCCTGCATGGAGAGGACAGGGTGAGAGCATGCTGAGATTGACAGCCCACTATGCTACTTTGCTCTTGCCGCTGGTCTCCTGGGCACAGCCCTCTTTCATCTTTCCTTTATCAGGCAGCTGAGAGTTGTCTGTCTGCTTGTAGGACCAGGTAGGTGTCCTGTCAGATATAGCCAGGTGAACAGTGATTAAAATGAAATCAAGAAACCTCTGCTTCCTCCACACAGGGTGATAGCCTCCAGGGATTCATTCCTTTCTCCTCACTGACAGATACTTATGTAATTTCCTACAGAGAAGTTTAAGAAATAGCCCAAACCAAAAGTTCCCCTAAAATTAAATTCCCCAACAAGGCCACCTGAGCCCTTTCCCTCAGTTCTTCCAAAGCGGGGTCCTGTGGTGGGGACTGCAGCTTCCGTCTCATGGTGACTGGCCTGGTCAGTGCAAAGGTGGCCCGTGTCAGTTGCAAGTCGGCCTCCACTGGCCTTTACAAAAGGGTTCTTTTGTACCAGAAGGGGGATGTTGCAGCAGCAGCAGAGGAGGGGGAGGAAAAACAAAACAAAACAAAAAACCAAACAAAACAATCATACCAACAAAACAGAGCTTGCGATTGTCATTCGATGAGCATCAGGTACTTGTTATTAATTCTACTGGTTAAGCACTTATAAATAAAGGACAGATACTTCTTGTCCCCAGCCACCTTTCTTTGTTAGGAGTCATCGTAGAGAGGGTTGTTGTAGTTTCCCCAGGACCCGTAGTCATGATCATCCAGCAGCCTTCCGTAGGAGGAATGCCTGTGTGAGAAGAAGATGAGATCACTTGTAGATGTGCCATCTGTGGACAAGTTACTACCCTGCAGCCTGAACCCAGGATGCTCACAGGTCTGTGGGAGGGAAAGGCATGAGACAGTCCAGCAGGATAACCCTGGACTCTGTCAGCCCCAGTTATCAACATCCGCCTAGGAGCTGGCCTGGCCCTTTCTGTTGAGATCTGGTAAGTCTTTTTCTCCTTCACCTCTAGCACAGGAGAAGGGAGGGAATGCTCCATTTCCACAGCTTCCCAGTAAAAAAGGAAGGGGAGGGAAGCTTGGGGCCCAGCATCTTGATGTAGGTCTCAGAGGCAATTTTCACGAAAGCAATATCCACACAACCAAAGGCACTATTGCTGCTACTGCTGTTCTTGGTGTTTTGTTGTCATTTATACAGTGTGTTTATATCCAGTTTTTAGTTGATCCTCAAAATCATGACTGGGATAAAGCAGTGTTTCTCTGATGAGGAAAACGGCCTTTGGGAAGTGTACTTGTTAGGCCCCACACCATCCAGCTGAACTATGTGTCAAATCCCCACCCCAACCTAAAGAGTTTTCAGAACTACCCCCCTCCCCAGTATGACTGTCTCCTTAGTCCGATGGAAACATGGACTAACAAGGGTGTTGGGCATCCTAAGGGGCTGTAGCACACTTATGATTTCTGTAAGACACTAAGGTCAGATTGCCTTCACATTTTCTTTTTTCTTTCTTTCTTCTTCTTCTTCTTTTTTCTTTCTTTGAGACAGAATTTCTCTATAGCATTTGAGTCTATCCTGGAACTCGCTGTATAGACCAGCCAGGCCTGAACTCACAGCGATCTACTTGCCTCTGCCTCTCAAGTGCTGGGATTAAGGATCTGTGCCACCACCACCTGGTACCATCACTATTTTTTAATGACCACTGGATGGCTGCTCATGTAAATGTATAAGCCAATGTCTTTCCAATGGCCCACAAAGTTACAAAGACTCTGGACCTTCTACTTTTCTGAGTTAATTAATTGTTACCAAAGGCCCTGCTCTTTCAGCTCAAGTGTATTGCTTTTTTCTGTCCTCGTACACCCAGCTCTTTTGCCTCAGGGCCTTTGCACTTACTGTTTCCTGGCTCACATATCTTCCAAAATACTATGTGATTCCTATAATTTCCTTGTAATTACTTCTCTTCTTCAACTAGACTATATGTTTCATGAGGGTAGTGGCTGTTATGTTTATTCATGGTTCTATTTCTGGCATCTAGAATATCTGGCACAAAGTAAGTCATCCGTAGTTATGTGTGGAAGACACAGGAGCTGAAGACAATACATCTTGAGCTCTCACAAAAGTGAGAGAATCTGTTCACAAAGATGGGCACTCTCCTGCAAATGGCATGGCCATTTTAAGACTAAAATGAATGACAGGATTGAAAGAGCATCACAAACACTCGGTGCCTCTGAGGTTCATGGCAGCGTGTGAATTTTTACCTGTGTCATACCCTCCCACAATGCCAGTGCCCCATCAGAGCCTGCATAGACTGTGCTCTTTGCTGGGCTGAGCTAACAAACAATCAGACTCTGGGAACGTGAAGGATAAGAGCTGAATTTAGATCCAGGAGGCTGATGTTGAACTGGAAATCATGGATGCTAAATACGGTGCAGATAAATGCACCTGGTCCCCACAGTCTTCTCACTGTCAGAGATGAAGAGTAAGCAAAACAGAAACACAACTCTAGGCACACAAGAGACACTTGCTCCACTTCCACCCGCTGCTAATACAGTTGCCCTTCCCTCCCGTAGCTTGCTGACACCAGCCAGGGACTGACAAAGAGATGGCATTTTTCCAGGACCAGCTCCTTGCTGTACTTGTTTCAGAGTTCAAGTATAGCTCCTGCAAGCTGACTCAGTGAACCTCTCTATATCCCTGGACACTTGATAATGCTCTGCAAAATAATCTGTTTATACCATCAGCCCACAATCATGTGTGTGTGGATGTGAGGAAGGGGGAACACAAGTAGCCGCTGAGACACACAGGGAAAGCAGAGGTCATTGTGGTAGGGAGGTGAAGATCATGAGCTATGTGTGGCCAACCCTCCCCTTACTTAAAAACCTCCTGTTCCAACAAATCACTAATAGGATGACTGAGAACTGGGAGCTGCCCCATGAGAAAGTAAACTCCAGGCATTCTAACACCAAAGTCCACCTTCTATTTCAGCATGACTTACTGCTGTAAATCTGGCAAACATGTCCCTAATAACCCCACACATTCATTGATAGGAGCCCCTGCTTTGCCTTGAAGATAATTTAACTTCTTGTGGCATTTTAAGCTCTTTTTTAATTTGTACATCATTACTTTCATATAATTTTTTTCTCATAAATTGTCTGTTTGGCCAATAGATGTATGTCTGGAGTAGGTTTTTGACCCCCTTGTTCCTTCGTTTATAAAATGAGGAGTTAAAAAATGCATTAAAGTTTCCAGAAGGATTCAATGAGGTAATGCCTTTTAAAGGCTTGGCACACAATAAATATTGGCCAATGCTGCTTTGTAACTTTTATTATAATGAAACTCACACAAGCCCATGCTAAATCTGCAAGCAGTGAAACACAGCACCAAACTCCTGAAACTGCCCAAGGCACAGTAATAAACCCAGTTTTTGATATTATTGTTATTTGAATCTTATAAAATATTGTGGCAATGTGAAGTCAAAGGATTAAAACCCCCGTGGCCCCAGGTTTTGCAGTCTGTGGTTAATTTAAGCACTTGGGTCAATGCTACTCCTGAGCTTGCTGCACTGAAAGAGGTATCTATTGTACAAACAGGGGAGAGTGAAGAAAAACACTAATCTTGGCTTCCATTTTTCTCCACCTTTACATTTGTACAGCGAGTGCTACTGAATGGGAAAGAAATGGGGGAAATAAGGAGAGAAAAATGGGAAATGGATCGAATCTGCAAGGTTTTGTCTTAACTCATCCAGGGGCTGAGACAAGAATCAGATATGCAGGGATTGGAGCTGGGCTTGGTGAATCTGATGTTGTTGTGGACACAAGAAATGAAACACAGTTGTGGGTATGTGTGTGATAAGGGGAGAAGAGTTAGGAAGCATTTAAACCTTTCTTTCTGGGCCAGAGCTAGTTAAGCCATGGTACATTTTGATTGGACACGGGAGCTTTCCAGATGGGCATGCACAAGCAAAGTCTAAGAAGTAAAAGAGGAAACATTTTCCTCCTACTAGCACTAGGAAAGCAGGAATTTAGATGGCTTTGCCAGTATTATTTAACGAGAGACCTGACAACAAAACCTTTTCTTGACTCTGTGGAGCAACGTTATTTATCTAATTTCAACCTGAGAAGTATTCAGTATAAGTGATGCTATTGCTGGGTCAAGGCAATTTTGTTTATGTGATTTCTCAATACGAATTGGTACCTGCCCTGTATTTTTCACTTGTTATGAACTGGTTCCACTTAAATGAACTTCTTGGGGGGTAGACTAGATCTTACTTCCTCTGTAACTGTCTGTACACTTAATGTGTTAAGCTTGATGCTATGGTTATGGGGTAAGTATTTGAAGGTGACAGTTTACATTGAGTAGCATAGAAATCAGGCAGATGTTAACTTGGTCAATACTAGAGAGGGTTCTTATGGCTTGTGATGCCACACAAAGTTGGCAAAGTGGCAGAAAAAAAAATCTCAGTAAAGAATGCTGGAGGTCAAAGGTTCCTCTTGACTTAAAGAGAGGAAGGAGAAAGACCCCATGCCACGATGTGAATTGATAGCACTTAGCTCAGTGCCCACAGTGCTCCATCAACGGCACCACCCTTCTCATCTGTGCTACTGTCCTGAGAGGGGATATATGGACCAGTCTCTTAACACATCTTCTTGTGTTTACTTTATTGTCTTCGACAATGAGTGCACGTTTCACTTTCTTTGAGCTTAAACAATACATATTTTAGAAAAAAACCTATTTTTTCAAGGGTGAATCCCAGCTCTTGGCAAAGCATCCACCTGTGTTGATGAGTGCACCCCAAGCCCTCTCTTTTGGCAGGGGAGACCCGGTTTTCAATCATCAGTGCTTGCTATGAGCTGATCAGGAAGGAAACACAGACATTAAGACAGGACTCGTTTCTGGGAAAACACTGTAGTCATTAGCCTTTAGTAATTAAGTCCCAGACTCGATGACTTCCATTAGCAAAGATGTCTGCTGCAGCTGTCACTGTCTCCTCTTTTCGTTCACACTGGTGGCTCCAGATTTTTCATTGTCACACACCTGCCTGGCTCCTTTCATTGAAAACTTAGTCTAAGGGACCCTACTTTGGAAACTTATGGACACCTTGACCAACTAAGTACACTTAAATACCTGTCCTTAGGGACCTTATATTCTGAGATGGGGACATAATAGACATGTTACAAATAACTATGTGGTAGGTGGTGGTAAGTGTAGTGGGGAAAAATAAAGCAAGTTGTAAGGTGGGGATTGCAGTTCCTAACGGTGCCCAGGGAAGGTCTCCTGTAGGCACCATTTGAGAAGACCCCTAAGGAGATGAGGGATGAGTTCTGTGGATGTCTGGGACACATCCTAACAACAGAGGTGGGAATGAGGGCAAAGGTCTTGGGGACAGGAACACAACACATCTGTGTTGTATCAGCCAGGTCCCTATTGCAAATCAAAGCAACTTTTCATATTGAAAGTGCCAATTCATGCAAAACTTGCAGGCAGCAGTGACAGTGGTGTCCATTAGGCCTTCATACAACATCATCTAAGGTCAGTGATTTGCATAACTGTCTGTCTAAGTTAGAACGTGGACACTCTGGGGCATGGTTTAAAGCTAAGACTATTGAGGCCACACGGGCCAGGGTTAGTCAGCCACAGTTAATATAGCTAGTTAATGGCAAAGTGCCACAACTGGGGGCCTTATCAGTTCTGCCTCTTTCTACCAAGGTCCCAATGATGAACACATTTCCAAATACTATTTTCTAAATGTTCTTTCATAGTCTGTTTCCTTTAGCTATTATTTTCAAACA